GCCAACCATCAACGGGGCCGCCGCGGACGGGAAGGCCGGGTAAGCCGGAAAAGGCCGAAAAACGGCCGAGAACGATGACCGAATCGGCTCCACGTCCCCCGCGCCCCCAAACGTCCCGTATCCAGTCCGGGGCTCACCAGGAGAGGCACCCACATGGGGGTAGAACTCCGGGCCTTCGGGGAGCTTTCCAAGCTCCCCCCTCTCGCCGTTTTCGGGCTCCGCATCTCGGAGCTATTTCCAGAAGACCGCCATCTGAATGGTTACAACTTGAAGGCTGTGTGTGTGTGTGTATGTGTGTGTGTGTGTGTATACATACACATACACATGTAATTGACATACACACACACACATACATACATATAGGGTACTGTCCTTGCCTGCCTTCTCTGAGCTTGACAAACAAAATGAGACCCCATTTGACTAGCAATTGGATGGGAAACCACCAAGAGATCCTCTTGGCTGTGGACTAGATTAGGAAGTTGAAAAAAGTCATTCAGGTAGATGAATGACTCCTTCACTACCTCCTTCACTATTACATCTCCACAGAGGCATCAGGATTGAGCTCCACTTTATTTTAACGGTCATGAGTGTCTACGGGGTTAGGGGACTGTGACAACATCCATGTCCTGCTGGCCTTGCATCAACAGTACAAATTCTGCACCTCTGTCATTTCACCTCATGCTGCAACTGAACTCAATGCATAACTGTCTGATTTGCAGACAGAGGTCACGACACGCAGGACGTCATTTTGACATCGCTATGGTTTCTGCCAGACACCCAAAGAAGCTGAACATGCTTTGGGATGCTTTGTTCCTTGTCTGAATGATTTTTGTAAAAATTGCAGAGGGTCGGGGCCTCCGTCTCACCTCGGTTGCATAAGCTCCCTCCGTAGCTGGGCAAGCACAGGCAGACAAAGGCGTTGATCTCGTCAATGCAGGTCCCGCCATTTTGACAAGGGTTAGATAAGCAGTCATCAATATCTGTGGAGAGAAGAGCATGTTTAAAGCATGTTCTTCACATTATGGCTGCTGCTGCATGGAACTCACAAGTCCCTCTTCCGATTGTCTGGGTTCTGTTTATCAGGAAACCCCTGAAAGGCTTTTTTATTTCATTTTAATTTATTTATATCCTGCCTTTATTATCTTTACAAGTAAATCTGGGCAGTGAACATATCCAACATACTTCCCTCCTGTTATTGTCCCAACAACAATCCTGCGAGGTGGGTTGGGCTAAGAGAGAGGGACTGGCCCAAAGTTACCCAGCTGGCTTTCATGACTAAGGCGGGACTAGAACTCTCAGTCTCTTTATGATTGGCCCAATATCACCCAGCTGGCTTTCATGGCTAAGGCGGGACTAGAACTCTCAGTCTCCTTATGATTGGCCCAATATCACCCAGCTGGCTTTCATGGCTAAGGCGGGACTAGAACTCTCAGTCTCCTTATGATTGGCCCAATATCACCCAGCTGGCTTTCATGCCTAAGGCGGGACTAGAACTCTCAGTCTCCTTATGATTGGCCCAATATCACCCAGCTGGCTTTCATGCCTAAGGCGGGACTAGAACTCTCAGTCTCCTTATGATTGGCCCAATATCACCCAGCTGGCTTTCATGCCTAAGGCGGGACTAGAAGTCTCCTTATGATTGGCCCAATATCACCCAGCTGGCTTTAATGCCTAAGGCGGGACTAGAACTCTCAGTCTCCTTATGATTGGGCCAATATCACCCAGCTGGCTTTCATGGCTAAGGCAGGACTAGAACTCACATCTCCTGCTTTCAAGCCTGGTACTTTAATCACTAGACCAAATTGGCTTTTTGCATGTACAGTAACAAGAAAACAATGAACTTACGCTTTACGGTTTTGATGATTAGAAAAAAAATAAGATTATAAAAAGAGAGGGGTTTTAAAAATAGCAATACAGTAAGAGGTAACTTTGCGTTTGTACTTATAATTGCTGTAAAGAAAATCGGAAACTACTTTTTCTATTTCATGGCTGGCTGGAAAATTCTGGGAGTTGAAGTCCACACATCTTCAAATTGCCAAATTGACCTAGAGAAAGAATACCATTGGATGCCCTGAACTCTCTCGGGAAATATAATCTCTGCATATGAGTTGGCTTGAAACACAGACAAGCTCAGGGCTGGAGACGAATCCTCGGAGCTTATCGGAGTTAGAGGAACAGCAGCCAGCTGCATCCAAAGCAAAGATTAACAACACAACAATCCAGCAGATAAATGCAGTGACATCCATCTGGGAGCGCGACAGCCAAGCTCGTGCATAAAATTGATCTGAAACTTCAAGTCTCGCTTCTTTGGCTGACGATAGCCATTCTGCTTCTTTCTCAGAACTTAGAGCAAGGGGAGGTTTGTGTCAAAAATATCTGCAAAAGCGACACACTCCAATGTATTTGCCAACAAACACAGGGGGTCCTTGACTTATGGGCACAAATGCCTACGGCAGGGGTAGGCAACCGTGGCTCTTTTATGACTCGTGGACTTCAACTCCCAGAATTCCTGAGCCAGCATGGCTCAGCTTGGAAACCTCTCCCTGTCCCCTCAGCATGGCTGGCTCAGGAATTCTGGGAGTTGAAGTCCACGAGTCATAAAAGAGCCAAGGTTGCCTACCCCTGGTCTATGGAGATGTTGGGCTCAATTGTGGTGGTAAGACAAGGACTACCTGTAATTTGAAGACTATCCTGTATTTGGAGATGTTTTTCCTGTCTTCTCTTAACTTTCTCACAGGGCTACCTCCAGAGCCGCTGAGCGAGGTCCTCAAAAGGTAAGCTGGCTTAGCAGTGTCACAAAACAGATTTAAGAAGGAAAATCTCCAGAGGAGCTTTCTGAATTTGATCTCCCAACATTTTAGGACTGGCTAAAGCAGGGGTCTTCAAACTTGGCAACGTTCAGACTTGTGGACTTCAACTCCCAGAATTCCTCAGCCAGCCTTCAGGACTGGCTGAGGAATTCTGGGAGTTGAAGTCCACAAGTCTGAACGTTGCCAAGTTTGAAGACCCCTGGGCTAAAGCAACGGATGTAAAGAGAAACAGACCATACCCTGGAAGAAAGGATTCATACAGATAGTCCTCGGTTTATGACCACAATTGAGTCCAAAATGTCTGTTGCTAAGCGGGACACGTGTTGAGTGAGTTTTGCCCCGCTTTATGACCTTTCTTGCCACTGCTGTTAAGTGAATCACTGCAAGTCAGTTAGTAACACGGTGGTTAAGACTCTGGCTCCCCCCCCCTGCCCTTCACTTTTGCTTGTCAGAAGGACGCAAAAGGGGTTCACGTGACCCCCAGGACACCGCAACCTTCCTAAACATGAGCATCTGAATGTGGATCATGTGACCATGGGGATGCTGCAACAATGGGTCACAAGTGTGAAAAAGTGGTCCTAAGTCAGTTTTTTCCACCGCCGTTGTAAGTTCGGATGGTCCATAAATGAATTCTTATAAGTCAAAGGCTACCGGTTATCGGTTCGGGAATTGATTCCCGTAATAATAATAATAATAATAATAATAATAATAATAATAATAATATATTATTATTATTATTATTATTATTATTATTATTATTATTATTATTATTATTTTCAACCTTCCCTGGAACCTCCAGTAGCTCAGGTTGGGGGACGAGTCCGTCCTTTGGGATATGGTAAAGTCTGTTTACCGACAGGTCAGAGAAGAATTTTTGATCCAGTGTTGGAGCATTCACCGCTTCTGGAGGCAGGTTGTTCCACTGATTAATTGTTCTAAGTGTCAGGAAGTTTCTCCTTAGTTCTAGGTTGCTTCTCTCCTTGATTAGTTTCCATCCGTTGCTTCTTCTCCTGCCTTCAGGCGCTTTGGAGAATAGCTTGACTCCCTCTTCTTTGGGGCAGCCTCTGAGATACTGGAAGACTGCTATCATGTCCCCCCCCCCCCCGTCCTTCTCTTCGTTAAACTAGACATACCCAATTCCAGCAACCGTTCCTTATATGTTTTAGCCTCCAGTCCCCTAATCATCTTTGTTGCTCTTCTCTGTACTCTTTCTGGAGCCTCAACATCTTTTTTACATTGTGGTGACCAAAACTGGATGCAGTATTCCAAGTGTGGCCTTACTAAGGCGTTGTAAAGTGGTATTAATACTTCACGTGATCTTGATTCTATCCCTCTGTTAATGCAGCCTAGCACTGTGTTGGCTTTTTTGGCAGCTGCAGCACACTGCTGGCTCATATTTAAGTGATTGTCCATTAGGACTCCAAGATCCCTCTCAGTTATTACAAGGCATTGTAAAGTGGTATTAATACTTCACGTGATCTTGATTCTATCCATCCCCCCCCCATCTTCTCACCTATTTCACAGTTTTCGCCCGTGAATCCCGGCAGACAGTAGCAGCTGGAAAGGTTTCCACTGGACTGGCAAGTGCCTCCATGCAAACATGGGTCGTTATCGCAAGGGTCAGTTTCGGCTGCAAAAAAAAAAAACAAGGAGAAAATGAGAAGAGAGGGGTTTTGGGGTTTTTTTTCCCCCCAGGCAATCCAGATTGCAGAGAGATTGCTCAGGTCACCCTGGGTTCGGTCGTCTTCTGACTGGACTACTGCAATGTGTTCTACAGGCGTCTGCCCTTGAAGTGGCACCTGGTCTAAAACAAAGCAGCCCATGCCGTTCTGGGTCCTTCATAATTCACCTGTCATGTGAGCTGCCTTGACTCCCGGTTACTTTCTGAGTGCAACTAAAGGTGTGAGTCACAGCTTTAAAGCCTTACGTGGCACATGGCGAGGTTGCTTGTGGCATCACCTCTGCTTGAGGGTATCTGCCCACCCCACTCGGTTCAAATAGCAGAATAACAGAGTTGGAAGGGACCTTGGAGGTCTTCTAGCACAACCCCCTGCTCAAGCAGGAAACCCTGTACCACCTCAGACAAATGATTGACCAATCTCTTCTTTAAAATCACCAGGGTTGGAGCACCCACAACTTCTGGAGGCAAGCCGTTCCTTGTTCTAACTGTCAGGAAATTTCTCTTTGGTTCTAGGTCAGGGGTAGGCAACCTTGGCTCTTTTATGACTCGTGGACTTCAACTCCCAGAATTCCTGAGCCAGCATGGCTCAACTTGGAAACCTCTCCCTTTCCCCTCAGCATGGCTGGCTCAGGAATTCTGGGAGTTGAAGTCCACGAGTCATAAAAGAGCCAAGGTTGCCTACCCTTGTTCTAGGTTGATTCTCTCCTTGATATGTTTCCATCCATTGCTTCTTATCCTGCCTTCAGGTGCTCTGGAGAATAGTTGTCCCCCTCTTCTTTGTGGCAGCTCCTCAACTATGGGAAGACTGCCATCATGTCAACCCCTAGTCCTTCTTTTCATTGTAGACACACCCAGTTCCTGCAACCGTCCTTCATATGTTTTAGCTTCCAGTCCCCTAATCATCTTTGTAGCTCTTCTCTGCACTTTTCTAGAGTCTCAACATCTTTTTTATATTATGGCAACCAAAACTGGATGCAGTATTCCAAGTGTAGTCACGCTCCACAAATAGGAAGGGTACACTTCAGATCCCCTCCCTGTCATGTCACGGGGCCTTGGAGGCACCTTCTCTGTAGCTACCCCAGTCCCACCTGAGATCCCGATGGTCTGTACCTTTTAAGCCTTCTAGAAGAACGTGGAGATCTGGGTCATCCCCGAAACATTGAACTACCACAGTGATGGCGAACCTATGACACTTGTTTCACAATCACCCAGCTGGCTTTCATATCTATCTATCTATCTATCTATCTATCTATCTATCTATCTATCTATCATCTATCTATCTATCTATCTATCTATCTATCTATCTATCTATCTATCTATCTATCTATCTATCTATCTATCATCTATCTATCTATCATCTATCTATCTATCTATCTATCTATTCCAGTGGTTCTCAACCTTTTTAATCCCGCGACCCCAACTGGTCGTAAGTCGAGGACTAAACCGGTCATAAGTCGAGGACTAAACCGGTCGTAAGTCGAGGACTAAACCAGTCGTAAGTCGAGGACTACCCAACCGGTCATAAGTCGAGGACTTTCCCTGCCCGGGAGCGCCACGCATGCGCGGTTCCGCCCCCTGTGCCGGCCGAGGCGTAGCTGGCAAGCGGCAGAGACGGAGCAGGCCGACCACCAGCTGGCCCAGCCCAAGGGAGGTAAGGCACCCACCGGAAAAGGGGAAAAAAATGGCGGACAAAAAAAATGGCGGACAGCCTTGCTTGGCGACCCCCATGAAATGGTCAATCGACCCCAAATGGGGTCCCGACCCACAGGTTGAGAACCACTGATCTATTCATTCATTCATTCATTTGCATCCCGCCTTTATTATTTTTACAAACAACCCAGCAAAATGTCCAACACACCTTCTTCTTCCCTTTTTCCCCACAACAACCCTGTGAGGTGAGTTGGGCTAAGAGAGAGTGACTGGCCCCCCAAACTGGCTTTCATGGCTAAAGCTGGGCCTGAACTCACTTCATGTCCGAGGTGGGACTAGAACTCGCAGTCTCCTGGTTTCTAGCCTGGTGCCTTAACCTGTAGACCAGACTGGCTCTCTGTGTTGATTGATTTGCACTGTATTTCTTAATTTGGCTAGTGAAGTGTAGGGAGCAGCTGTGCTTGGGAGGCCAAATGAAGGAGATGATTCAGAGGCTGGACCGAGGCCGGCCTTAAATTGCACTCGGTTACTTGTTCCCCTCTTGCCTGCCTGACACAATAACTATTCCAGTCCTCTGATTATCACCTCTTTGCCATCCTCCTACGCTGGATTCCCGTTCTATCTGGGCAAGCACTTTGCTCTGATGAGTAACACTGCAGCTGAGCGCGTGCTTTGCCTGCCTGAACTGACCCTCTCCTGCACAAAGGCCTTTTCTGATTTTTGCAACTGCTGGTGGAGCAAGCAAGGTGAACTCAAGTGCTCCGTTGTGTGCATGCTTGTCCCATTGCCTCAATGAAAAGCACAACATTGCTTCCACAGTGCCAAGTGGCCTTTTACAAGCCCAATTCCCACTGTAATGCATTGGCGAAACGGCCGTGGCATCTATTTGGAGAGTCAACTATGGTGATCACTACAGGTAGGCCTCAACTTACAACTACAATGGGGACCAGAATCGCCGTCGCTAAGCAAGGCACGTAGGTGAGTCAACCCCGATTTTTACGCCCTTTTTTGCCAAATCACTGCAGGTCATCAAGTGAATCTGGCTTGTCCTGTTGACTTTGTTTGTTGCAAGCCGGCTGAGAAGGTCACAAGTGGCAATCAGACAAGCACGGGACGCTGCAACTGTCATAAATACATACTGATTGCCTAGTGCCCAAATTCTGATCACATGACGGTGGGATGCCACAATGGTCGTAAGTGTGAAGTCTTTTTTTTTTTAGTGCCATTGTACAACCTAAACAATAGATTGTAAGTCAAGGACTACCTGTTCTGGGATGACTCCCTTAGAACAGGTGTCCTCACACTTGGCCACTTTAAGACTTATGGACTTCAATTCCCAGAATTCCCCAGCCAGCATGGCTGGCTGGGGAATTCTGGGAGTTGAAGTCCACAAGTCTTAAAGTGGCCAAGTTTGAGGACCCCTGCCTTAGAACAATCACGGTCACATGACCACAAAGTGAATTATGACACAGGAGGAAACTCATGGAAATAGAAGTAGACCTTCCTTCCTTGAGCAACAGGTCATAAGAGCATAAGAAGCAACCTTGAACTAGATCAGACCAAGGATCTACCTACTTTGGCATCTGGCATTTCACAAGGATCATCAGATAACATCTCAACCTACCTCCTGAAGCTTCTTAAACCACCACTGCAATATGCTTGCTACTACGTACAAGATTTGGGGAACAATTCCCTTGTGGAATACAGTTAGTCATCCACTATTGAACCCAACATTTCTGTTGCCAAGTGAGACATTTGTTAAGTGAATTTTGCCCCATTCTTGCCATTGGTGTTAAGAAATTTGGGACTCAATTGTGGTCGTTAAGTCAAGGGCTACCTGTACTCACAGCTCTGGGGTCCAAATGGGCAAAGGGGAGGAAGAAACAAAAGGGGAAATTTGGGGCCTCTAGAGGTAAGGAAACTGTGTGGAAGCATTTTGTATATTTAGCAGGGAAATTAGAATATTTCGGACATGTGATGCGACACCCAGAAAAATATGGCATGCTCCATTTAATCCTCCAGGGAAAGATTGAAGGCAAACGAGGTCCAGGCAGAAGAAGAACGTCGTGGCTTCCAAATCTAAGGGACTGGTTTGGACAAAACTCAGCAGCACTTTTTCGTGCGGCTGCTGATAAAAACAGGATCGCCAACATGATCGCCAACGCCCAATAACGGATATGGCACAAGAAGAAGAAGAAGAAGCAGGGGGGAAAAAATAAATCTGTGGAGCCACGTTAGGCGTGAGCAGGACATGCTCTGCTTTGTAACCACATTAGGAACAAGAGAATAAATCCAGCTAATCAATATCCCGGATGTATTTTTCCACAAAAGTGCATTACACGAGCTTTGCAAAATACAAGCCAAGACTTTGGAACGGTTATGTCAGAAGACCCATTTCGAATTGTAATGAATGACAGTCCCGAGGGTTTAGCGGTTCGAAGCCTTTGTAGTTAGGAAAGAAAATGTGACATCCAAACATGCTTTGGGGGGGGGAAAGGGACTCAGTTAGCTGCGAGTGTCGCTGGACACAGTGGGGAGTCTTGAACTGGCGCAGCTCTTCCAGCAAAAGCACATAATTATGCCAACTGCCAATTTCCCCCCTTCTTCTCCGGCTCTGGAAAGGAAGGGAGGAAGGGAGGTCTGCTATTGTTACTTACATTGCAAGTAATCCTCAACTTACCGTACAACTATTCATCGCTGTTCAGAGTTACAACAGCACTAAAAAAAGCGACTTACGAACTCTATTCACAGTTACATCCATTGTAGCAGCCCCATGGTCACATGATCAAAATTGGGGTGCTTAGCAACCAATTTACCAACAAAAGTGCGTATAGTTAAGGCCATGGTTTTCCCAGTTGCAATGTATGGCTGTGAAAGTTGGACCATAAGAAAGGCTGAGCGCCAAAGAATTGAGGCCTTTGAACTATGGTGCTGGAGAAGACTCCTGCGAGTCCCCTGGACTGCAAGGCGATCAAACCGGTCAGTCCTAGAGGAGATCAATCCTGACTGGTCTTTAGAAGGCCAGATCCTGAAGTTGAAACTCAAATCTTTTGGCCACCTAATGAGAAGGAAGGACTCACCAGAGAAGAGCCTGATGCTGGGAAAGATGGAGGGCAATAGAAGAAGGGGACGACAGAGAATGAGGTGGCTGGATGGAGTCACTGAAGCAGTAGGTGTGAGCTTCAATGGACTCCAGAAGATGGTAGAGGACAGGAAGGCCTGGAGGAACGTTGTCCATGGGGTGGCGATGGGTCGGACACGACTTCGCAACTAACAACAACAAGCAACCATGTATTTCCGATAGTTGTAGCGTTCTGGGGTCATGTGACTACCATTTGTAACCTTCCCATGGCTGGTTTCTGATGAGCACAATTGATGAGGGGAAGCTGGATTCACTTAACAATGGCATGATTCACTTAACAACTGCAACGATTCGCTTAACAACCGGGCAATAAAGATCACAAAACCAGGCACGACTCACTTAAACAATTGCTTTCCTTCACCACAGAATTTTTGTCCCCAACTGTAGACATAAATTGAGGACTGGTTTTTTTCTCATCAAATGACACTCCCGGGACAGTCTGCAAGTGAATATTAACCTCACTGTTTCTCTTCCCTGTCTCTACTTTTCCCATTCCACCAAATCTCGTTCTATATCTCTTCCTTCCCCAAAAACTTAAAAAGGGCAAAATTCAATCTTTGCCCAGGGGGTTCTAACCTGCTATCGGCAAATCAATGTAGCACGGATCCCGTCACAAATTCCCCCAACCAATGGAGAGAATTTTAGAGGGAAAAAAATAGAGAATTTGAAAGCAGCTCCTCTCCTGGGCCCTAGTTCTCTAGTCCAGTGGTTCTGAACTTGTGGTCCATCACAGGGGATCCGCGAAGATTTGAAGAAATGTTATGATTTAAATCCTGAGTTACGTCTTGGGGGTCCGTGGATGAGCGGCTGCAAAAGTTGATGGAGTTAGATCAGGGGTAGGCAACCTTGGCTCTTTTATGACTCGTGGACTTCAACTCCCAGAATTCCTGAGCCAGCATGGCTCAGCTTGGAAACCTCTCCCTTTCTCCTCAGCATGGCTGGCTCAGGAATTCTGGGAGTTGAAGTCCGCGAGTCATAAAAGAGCCAAGGTTGCCTACTCCTAAGTTAGATAAATTAACTGCTAAATTCAGATGGCTAAATTGACTGTTTTGATTAAAGAAAAAAAACCACAATTACTTTTGTTTCTACTTGGAAACCACTTCTGGACTTTGTGCTTGAGGTGGTACAAAAAAACGAAACTTTGATTTTGGGTTTTACCTATTAGATAGGTTTGTTGTTATAGAAATGGCTAGTTTATACTATTATGTAAAAGTAAAAAGTTGAGGTTTGATGCTGTTATCTTATTCTACTGTACCAAAGGGAGTTGGAAGTCAACGCCTTTTCTTTCTTTCCTCACCCTTTCCTTACACTTTTCCCTTCCCTTCTCTCCTACTATTTTCTTTTCTATTTTTGTATTTTATATTATAAACTATACTAATAAGAATATTTTTTAAAAAGCCTTCGTGATCTGTGGCCATGGTTCGGACCACAAAAGGTATTTTGTGATGTGGAAAAGGTTGAGAACCACTGCGCTAGTGAAAATATTAAAGGACTCTGGATTTGGGGGTTCTGCAGCGTAGGGCACAAGGCAACAGTGGGAAGCCGGGGTGAAAAACGCCAGAGTTCATCTGCTTTTATACAGAGTCTACAACATCAACTTATGACCAGTCATTTAGTGACCATTTGAAGTTACAACGGGGCTACTTATGACCCAGATTCAAAGTTCCAATAGTCACCTCCTTCCCAAAGTCACATGACCAAATTTCACGCACTCAACAACATGGCCATATATATGACTGTTTGCAGCATCCTACGGTCATGGGACTACATGATCTGGCATTTACTTCCATTTTTGGCAAAACTACGCTCCTAGCAAATCACTGGCTCACTTAAAAATGGCAATGTTCACTTAACAACAATGACTGCTTTACTATCGTAGTGGCTGTTGAATAACCGCTGTGAAAAAGATGGTAAATTGTATAACCATCAGGACTTACGACTGTGATGGGCAGGCTCCTTTACAGTCGTACGTCGAGGAATTTAGTCCTTCGAATTCTTGTTAAAAAGGTTCACATAACAAGGATCAGAAAAGACCCTTCCTTGCCTAAGACCTGAGCATATTAACTTGTATCAGAGATCTAGCTACTAGGATCATTAGATATCTCCATGGCTTAGTGGCAGGACACACGCTTTGCATGCTGATCAGTTCCATCGTGAACTTCAACAATTTAAACTAACAGAAACAATTCAACACCATACTCGTAAAAGTGCCTCCATTCCCAAATTCAAGCATTCTCTTGATGTTGGATGGGCCTTCAACTTCCAGAATCTCATTTGCTAGCACGGCTGTGGCTGGGATTCTTGTGAGTTGAAGTCTATTCATTTTTTTCCCACTCAAGCACAAAGTCCCCAAGTGGTTTCCAAGTGAAGCGGAAATAAAGTTAACTGTATTCTTTTCTTTGATTAAGGTAGTCAATTTAGCCATCTCTGTTAATTCCAAAAATGAAAATTTGACTTTGGGTTTTGCTGACTAGATAGGTCTGTTGTTACATAAATGGTTAGTACCTATTATGTAAAAGTAAAAAGCTGAGGCTGTGTGTAATTATTCTACTGCTCTAAAAAGTGTCGGAAGTCGATGCTTTTCTTTCTTTCCTCTCCTTTCCTCTACACCTTTTCCTCTCCCTTTTGCCCTTTCCAATTTTCCCACTATTTTCATTTTTCTTCGTATTTTATATTTTGATAAAACTCATAAAAATTTGGAACCAGAGGTGAAGTCTACTCATTTGAAGAACTCCAGGGGAAGAAGCAAGCTCTTTCAGCTGACAGATCTTGGAACATCACTGCCAACAAGAGAATTTATTGGCTGATTGATTATGTGTCATCAAGTCATTTTTGACTCCTAGCGACCACATATTCTCCATTAAAGCAAGAGAAAATGAAAAAAAAAATTGAGCCAGTGTAATACAAGGCAACTCCGCTCATTTAAGAAACAGTCCATAATCATGCATATTTCATCAGTTTCCCTTTCTGCTAACATGAGAAATTACAACTGGGGGGGGCACATTTTTGGGAGGGACACTGGGGGTAGAGGGTCCCCCGTAGGTGCGTACTTACAAATTACAGAGATGCCTATTTATAGGTTGTCCTCGACTTACGACCACAATTGAGCCCAAAATTTCCATTGCTAAATAAGGCAGTTGTTAAGTGAGTTTTCACAATCTTTCTTGCCACAGTTGTTTGGTGAATCATTGCACATATTAAGTTAGTAACGTGGCTGTTAGATGTGTCTGGCTTCCCTACTGAATTGGCTTGTCAGGAGGTCGCAAAAGGAGACGCTGCAATCGTCATAAACATGAGCCAGTTGCCAAGCGTCCAGATTTTGATCGTGAGACCATCGGAATGCTGCAAGGATTGTAAGTGTGAAAAACGGTCATAAGTTATTTTTTCCCATGCCTTCGTAACTTTGCACAGTCACTAAACAAAGGGTTGTAAGTCAGTGATGGCGAACCTTTTAGAGACCGAGTGCCCAAACTGCAACCCAAAACCCACTTATTTATCGCCGGGTGCCAGGTGGGCGTGGCCCACTGGATGGGCGTGGCCGTGGTCATGGCAGACTGGGTGGGTGTGGCCAAGGTGGGTGTGGTCACCTCGATGTTGCTCGAGGGGAGGGACACCTGTGGGGGCCGGGCAGGGTTGGGGGAGATCCAGGGGGTCTCTGGCAGATGGGCAGTGGGCTCATCCTGAGGGGTGAGGTGAGGCAAGGCGAGGCAGGGCGGGGGTGCCATTGTCGCAGGGCAAGTTGAGGCAGGGGCCAGGGCGGCTGCTGCCTGACACCATCGGCCCCTGCACACAGAGGCCAGCGGGCGCATGGGGGCCGATAGTGTCCATCAGCAGCCACAGCCTGCCGGCCTGTCGACCGGTGCACTCTGGGGCTCCGCAGCCCGCCCCCAGCAGTTCAGAGAAGCTGCTTCTGAGCTGGATGGCCGGCCGACAGCTGAGGAGGCGATGCAGTGGGTCATGCCCGGGAAAAGGAGAGCATGCGAGGCCAGGATGATGGGATGGGGGGGGGAGGGAAACCAGCCATGCTGGGATGCATCCAGCCATATGGGACCTCTGCGAGTTAGCAGGCAGTTGGTTGAAGAGGGACAGTTGCCATCTCCAGGGCATGGTGTGTGTGCCCACAGAGAGGGCTCTGAGTGCCGCCTCTGGCACACGTGCCATAGGTTCACCATCACTGTTGTAAGTCAAGAACTACCTGTAAAAAAAACCTTCCTGGGGCTACATAAGGATGGGGACCTCCTAAGAACTTGTATACAAGAAGGAATGGAGCTGATATATGTTTGCTGGCCTACCTGTCTTGACATCCCCATCTTTTCCCCTCCCCACAAAGTCACTATACGGGGAGGGAGAAGAGATTCTTACCAAGCAAGCTGTCATTCATCTCCTGAGCCCACACCAGACGGGGGATTCCTTTGAGTGCTGGAACATCTTCTTTCTCCTCTCCACTCCCACTGTCGGTTTCCATTGGGAGAAAGTCTCCAGGGACAGAGGGGATGAATCCTTCCTGGTCCATCTTGGCTTCCACCTCTCTTTCGGTGGGATAGATGGAAGGTTGTGAGCTTGGAACGGCAAGCGGGTTGTCAAAGGCAGATGGCTGTGGAAGGTGTATAAGCTCTGAGGTGCTGTGGAGTGTGAATGGAGTCCTCGCCTCAGGCAAACTCAGGGCTGTGGTCTCTGCTCCTTTCTTGGTCTCATCTAGAAGAGATTGAGCAGAAGAAAAGAAGACGGTGGGATTGTGAGCGGGAGGTCTTGCAGTGGCACCATCTGGCCAACGGGAGCCACCGTTGTCTTCCTCTGGGCTTTCATGGTGACTTTGCTCTGTCATGCTGGATTCAAGATGGTTCTCCATGCTTTGAGTAGCCACTTCCCAGCTGCCTTGTGCCTCAGAAAGATCCAGGACTTCAGTGAAAGTGGAACCATCTGGCGGCCCTAGGATTCCTTTGTTTGATCTGGTGGTCTCCATATTATCTTGTTTGCGGTCAGGCACCAACCACGCCTCAGTTTTCTCAGGGAGGAATTGAGCTTCCTCCAAATACACATTTCCTGGTGTTGGGGAGACGATGTCTTTTGGGGAGAGTGTCACTGCTTCATGTCCCCTCAGCTCAGATGCTTCTTCTGAATGTTGGCTGCTCTGTTTCAAGACAGTGTCCTTTCCTGCGATATCGAGGAGGCTCATTGTCTCCTCTTGGTTAACAAAATGTAGAGTTTCTGGCTCCGTTTCTCCCTCTGCATTCTCTGGCAAGTTTTGGTGGTCCTCAAAAGCAGGTCCCGGAAGCTCTTCACCAAAGCTCATTACCTTGATGTGACTTTCTCGGGAGCTGTAATCATATTCCCCACTTGCCTCATCAATGTGTGGTTTGTTCCTCTGGAGCTCAGAGGATAGAAGGGATTCTGCTGGGGTAACCACCTGTCCATAGCCAGAAAAATCATCTTCATGGTCTCCAGCTTGGGTCATCCCTTGAAGATAGTCACCTCGCATGCTGGTCCCCATGGAAGCATCTTCAGGATCATATCCTGTAGTCACAGCAACTTTCTGCAGATCAAGTAGAACATTAGCTGAGACCGGCGATGATACGGGAATGTGCTCATTGTGCACATCCTTCTCCTGGCTTCTTGGCCCAGAAACGGTCCAATATTCTTGGTTGGTTCTTTCAGTACTTGTGTCTTCCAAAGAATGAGGTGTTGATGCAGGAGAAAAGGTGATTTCCTTATGGCCTCGATTCTCAAGTAAGGGTAACCCTGAGAAGATATGCACAGGATTAAAACATAGGCATATATTAGGAATATACAATGCTTCCAATTTAATTCCCTAAAATGTTTCAGAATATGCAGGGGTGTGAATACAGCATCTGTCTCTTCTTAAAGTAGCCCTGTCTTTTCCTGGGATCACACATCCAGGACAGCTTTAAATCTTGGGACAAAATTGCAGCTGTTTTAAAGAGTTGCAGACAGACGCTGGGTTCATGTCCCCATCTACTCCAAAGCACATTTTGAAATTGAATCCAAATCCACCCATGATACATACAAGTGTGCTCATATCCAGTATATAGACAGAGTGAAACCTCCTTTTAATGAACTGCAGGTGATCCTCGTTTAGTGACCATAATTGGGACTAGCAACTTGGCCATTAAGCAAAGCGGCTGCTCAGTGAAACTGCAACTGTGCTTACGATCTTACTTCAGCTTTGCTCTGCTCTACAGTCTGTAAACCTGCAAAGATCGTAAATGTAAAGATTGGTCATAAAGTGACTTTTTCATCACCGTCATAACTGTGAGAGGCAGTTAATAAATAAGGACTGCTGGTACAGTACTTGTGAGGTGGTATCTCTAACCTGTGGAGCGTGGTGACCTAGCAGTTAAGACGCTGGGTTTGTCAACCAGAAGGTTGATAGTTCAGACCCAGATACCCGATGACGGAACGAGCTTCCATTATTTGCCCCAGTTCCTGCCAACTTAGTAGTTCAAAAGCATGCAAATATAAGAAGATAAATAGGTGCCACTTCAGTGGGAAGGCAACAGTGTTCCGTGTGCTTTTGGCATATAGTCAGTGCTGGGCACGTGACCACGGAAGTGTCTTCGGCCAACTCTGGTTCTTCAGCTATGAATCTGAGATGAACACCACCCCTTAGAGTCAGACACGACTGGACAGGGGAAACTTTTATCTTTTTATTGCTAACTTAGAAAGGTCCATGAAATTAAAGACAAGGGCGCCATGGTATAACGATGCTGTCAAACCTTCAAACACTCTGAATACAGCCATGTTTCTTCGTTTTTTCGGTTGCCACAGCAATGGGAGGGGGGGGAAAGATGCATCCTTATAGTTTAGTCAAAACAATAACTTTCTTGTGGGAACCAAGGTCAAGCAGCCTTAATGTTTGGCGGGCTACCGTTAGGAAGCCCGCCAAAGGTGTTAATTGGGGATTGTGATTTATGACACACTAAGGGGTGGGGAGTTCAACTTTTACTTTGTAACCTTTTGGGGGGGGCAACTTGGTTTCACCTCTGTTCGTGCTGATATTATGTAGCCATTAAAAGTGTCCTTTGAGGAAAGCAATTGCCCCAGAGTTCTTATTTCTACTGGTCTCATCTATCGGAACCATTGACAGATGCTGCCATCATGCAAATAAAGTATACCATGTAGAAATTTAGTCCATGGCATGCGAAGTTCATTGCCTTAAGGCGGGGTGGGCAACTATGGCAAATTTATGACTTGTGGACTTCAACTCCCAGAATTCCTGAGCCAGAATGGTCGCCCACCCCTGCCTTAAGGTCTGTTAAATCAAGATTTCAGATTCTGTGCCACCTTCTATTAAAATTTCTTCCCTTCCCCTCTTGCTCACTCTCCCATGGCCAGCCCATCTGTCTGGGTGTTAATAAGTACAGGAAATTGGCACCACTCCATCTGGGCCTAAGAGAATGCCTGCGTGGAAGGGCAGCATCACAGGCATTTGGCAACGGTTACAATGCCAAGGAGCATGTGGGAAGGGTTTCTGTAGCAACTGCCTCCTTATTAACTGCATCGCCTTGCAGCTACGGTCCTTTGAGCTAATGGGGTTCAGCAGGGAGATTCCTAGATGTCTAAAGCTCTTAATCTCCCTGGGAGGGTTAGGGGCTGGGGTTGAGAGTGGCGGGGAGAGAAGGAGGGCTGGGATAAGCAGAGCAAGATGAACAGTCTGGTAGAGGAAAGAAGGAACAACCTTGAATGTTGGGAGTTTGTAGGGACAATTCTCTCTCTCTGTATGTGTGTGTGTGTGTGTGTGTGTGTGAGAGAGAGAGAGAGAGAGAGGGAGAGAGAGAGACAGAGAGAAGAGAGACAGAGAGAGAAGAGAGACAGAGAGAAAGAGTAAGAGAAGAGAGAGAGAAAGAGAGAGAAGAGAGAGAGACAGAGAGAGAGAAGAGACAGAGGAAGAGAAGAGAGAGACACAGAGAGAGAAGAGAGAGAGAGAGAAGAGAGAGAGACTCTCTCTCTCTTCTCTCTCTCTCTTTCTCTTCTCTCTCTGTGTCTCTCTCTTGTCTCTCTCTCTCTTCTCTCTCTCTGTCTCTCTCTCTTCTCTCTCTCTCTTTCTCTTCTCTCTCTCACAGAGAGAGAAGAGAGAGAGAGAAGAGAGACAGAGAGAAAAAGAGAAAAGAGAGAGGAGAGAGAGACAGACAGAGAGAGAAGAGAGACAGAGAAAGAGAAGAGAAGAGAGAGACACAGAGAGAGGAGAGAGAGAGAAGAGAGACAGAGAAAGAGAAGAGAGACACACACAGAGAGAAGAGAGATAGAGAGAGAGACAGATAGAAAGAGAAAGAGAAGAGAGAGAGGAGAGAGACAGAGAGAGAGAGAAAGAGAAGGAAGAGAGAGAGACAGAGAGACAGAGAGAAAGAGAAGAGAGAGACAGAGAGAGACAGAGAAAAAGAGAAAGAGAAGAGAGAGAGAGACAGAGAGAAAGAGAAAAAGAAGAGAGAGACACATAGAGAGACAGAAAGAGAAAGAAAAGAGAGAGACAGAGAGGAGAGAGAAACAGACACACAGAGAGAGACAGAGAAAGAAAGAGAGACAGAGAGAAAGAGAAAGAGAAGAGAGAGAGAAAGAGAGAAGAGAGAGAGAGACAGAGAGAGAGAGAGAAGAGAGAGAGAAAGAGAAGAGACACAGAGAGAGGAGAGAGAGAGAGAGAAGAGAGACAGAGAAAGAGAGAGACACAGAGAGAGAAAGAGAGAGAGAAGAGAGACAGAGAAAGAGAAGAGAAGAGAGACACACAGAGAGACAAGAGAGACAGAGACAGAGAGAAGGAGAAAGAAGAGAAGAGAGAGAGAGACAGATAGAAAGAGAAAGAGAAGAGAGAGAGGAGAGAGACAGAGAGAGAGAAAGAGAAGAGAGAGACAGAGAGAGAGACAGAGAAAAAGAGAAAGAGAAGAGAGAGACAGAGAGAAAGAGAAAAAGAAGAGAGAGACACATAGAGAGACAGAAAGAGAAAGAAAAGAGAGAGACAGAGAGGAGAGAGAAACAGACACACACAGAGAGACAGAGAAAGAGAGACAGAGAGAAAGAGAGAGAGAAAGAGAAAGAGAAGAGAGAGAGAAAGAGAGAGAAGAGAGAGACAGAGAGAGAGAGAAGAGAGAGAGAGACACAGAGAGAGGAGAGAGAAGAGAGAGAGAGAAAGAGAAGAGAGAGACACAGAGAGAAGAGAGAGAGAAGAGAGACAGAGAGAAAAAGAGAGAAGAGAGAGAAGAGAGAGAGACAGACAGACAGAGAGAGAAGAGAGACAGAGAAAGAGAAGAGAAGAGAGAGACACAGAGAGAGGAGAGAGAGAGAAGAGAGACAGAGAAAGAGAAGAGAGACACACACAGAGAGAAGAGAGACAGAGAGAGAGACAGATAGAAAGAGAAAGAGAAGAGAGAGGAGAGAGACAGAGAGAGAGAGAAAGAGAAGGAAGAGAGAGAGACAGAGAGAAAGAGAAGAGAGAGACAGAGAGAGAGAGACAGAGAAAAAGAGAAAGAGAAGAGAGAGAGAGACAGAGAGAAAGAGAAAAAGAAGAGAGAGACACATAGAGAGACAGAAAGAGAAAGAAAAGAGAGAGACAGAGAGAGAGGAGAGAGAAACAGACACACAGAGAGAGACAGAGAAAGAAAGAGAGACAGAGAGAAAGAGAAAGAGAAGAGAGAGAGAAAGAGAGAGAAGAGAGAGAGACAGAGAGAGAGAAGAGAGAGAGAAAGAGAAGAGAGAGACACAGAGAGAGGAGAGAGAGAGAGAGAAGAGAGACAGAGAAAGAGAGAGACACAGAGAGAGAAAGAGAGAGAGAAGAGAGACAGAGAAAGAGAAGAGAAGAGAGAGACACAGAGAGACAAGAGAGACAGAGACAGAGAGAAGGAGAAAGAAGAGAAGAGAGAGAGAGAGACAGATAGAAAGAGAAAGAGAAGAGAGAGAGGAGAGAGACAGAGAGAAAGAGAAGAGAGAGACAGAGAGAGAGACAGAGAAAAAGAGAAAGAGAAGAGAGAGACAGAGAGAAAGAGAAAAAGAAGAGAGAGACACAGAGAGAGACAGAAAGAGAAAGAAAAGAGAGAGACAGAGAGGAGAGAGAAACAGACACACAGAGAGAGACAGAGAAAGAAAGAGAGACAGAGAGAAAGAGAAAGAGAGAGAGAAAGAGAAAGAGAAGAGAGAGAGAAAGAGAGAGAAGAGAGAGACAGAGAGAGAGAAAAGAGAGAGAGACACAGAGAGAGGAGAGAGAGAGAGAAGAGAGACAGAGAAAGAGAGAGACACAGAGAGAGAAAGAGAGAGAGAAGAGAGACAGAGAAAGAGAAGAGAGAGACACAGAGAGAGAAGAGAGACAGAGACAGAGAGAAGGAGAAAGAAGAGAAGAGAGAGAGAGAGAGACAGATAGAAAGAGAAAGAGAAGAGAGAGAGGAGAGAGACAGAGAGCGAGAGAAAGAGAGAAAGAGACAGAGAGAGAGAGACAGAGAGAAAGAGAGACAGAGAGAGAGAAGAGAGAGAGAGAGAGAGAAGAGAGACAGAGAAAGAGAGAGAGAAAGAGAGAGAAGAGAGAGAGAGAGAGAGAAGAGAGAGACAGAGAGACAGAGACAGAGAGACAGAGAAAGAGAAGAGAAGAGAGAGAGAGAGAGAGGAGAAAGAAGAGAGAGAGACAGAGAGAGACAGAGAGAAAGAGAAGAGAGAGAGAGACAGAGAGAAAGAGAAAGAGAAAGAAGAGAGAGACACATAGAGAGACAGAGAGAAAGAGAAAGAAGAGAGAGACACATAGA